CCCTGGGGTGGCTCGGCCACCGAGCCACCTCAGGGTGGCTCAGCTTGGGCCGAGCCACCTTGAGGTGGCTCGGTTTCGGCCGAGCCCCTCCGGGTGTTGTTCGTTCCGTCATTTTCCGTTGTCCGGTTCTGTGTTTCGTTGTTGATCTGGACTTGATTCGGTTGTGTTTCTGTTGTGTGGTTGATTGACCTGGAAACGACTCGTTGACTTGATTCCAGATTTGGCAGTAAGTCCGGATCCTGATTAGGCAGTAAATCCACTTCTGAATCTGAGTCCGAAACTGATCTTGATTCGATCGTGATTCGTTCGAGTCCGCTCTCGGTTGGATGACTCGTTGACTCTTCGAACACTTGGCTTGATCCCGCACGCGAATGGATGTATTCCGTTGCTTGCGTGCGATTCGTCGATCTCGTCGCCTCGTTGGTTTGTCGGTTCGTGCCGAGCTATGCTAGGGGACCTATAAGCAATTTTATATGCCTACAGCGCTGGCACGGGTCCGCCGCCTCCGCCGAGCTCCTTTTCTTTTGGTGCTTTTCTTTCCGGGACTTGTACTTTTCGTCATTTCATGTATTTGGTCAACTCGTTGACTTGTACTCTTCGTTGCGGGATAGACCGTCGGACGTGTCGATCACTTGGGGTAGCCTGACATATGCGTGTTGGTTAACATGCGTGCGTGTTGATTGATGCGTGCGTGTTGACTGACGAGCACGAGCTGATTGACGTGCGCATCGTGACCGACGTGCATGAGCTGATTGACGCGCGCATCGTGACCGACACACACGAGCTGATTGACGCGCGTATTGATCGACGCGCGTGAGCTTATTAGGTAAGCCTTCTTGACTCGTTCACTCTTTGCTTCGAGTTTCGTGCGGGCTGTCATAGGCAATTTTAGACGCCTATAGATACTCCGTCCAAAGTGTTTCAGCCTCATTCTTTTATAGAGGAGTCTGGAATGCTTTGGATATGATAGATCCCCACCTTCAATCGGTGTAAAAGGACCTATAACTGGTTTCAGTTAGCGACTTCTTCGCATTTTAGCCTATTCAGTATTTTGTCAAATAGTTAAAATTCTTCCGGTGCTGCGTTTATCGTCTGACTGTTGTCGAAGTCTCGAATCGAAATTGGTAGGTTGATTTTGGCTTGTGTCATTGAGTTGATTATGAACTAATTGTCTGCATCGCAACGCGTTGGCCGGCGTTACTCTCATCGCAACGCGTTGACTGCCGTTGACCTGGGGCTACACGTTGACCGGCGTTGACCCTAGGGTTTCATATCAATCAGCGTTGACTCTCATCGCAACGCATTGACCTAGGGCTACGCGTTGACCGGCGTTGACCTGGGGCTACGCGTTGACTGGTGTTGAACCTGATGAGGACCAGTTTATACTCATATACTCTTGGGAGTTTAGGGAATCAGTTTAACCTCGTACACCCGTCGGAGGTTGCCGGGTTATCCTTAAGAATATTAAGCGTAATATTCTCCAGGAACTTCTCGTCAAGAGTGGGAAACAGTTTAGATTCGTATACCCATTGGAGTGTGAGTACGGATCCCAAATACATCAATAATGGATAGAAAGGGGTGAGAATACCGCAACAAAAATTAATTGCGGGTCAACTCTGTGAGCGGGTCGGCAAACGCTACCTCGCACTCAAACGGGTCAGCATACGCTGTCCTAAGCTTCAGCGGGTCGAAAAACGCTGCCTCGCACTCAAACGGGTCAGCATATGCTGTCCTGAGCTTCAGCGGGTTGGCAACAAGCTGTCCTGGACTCGAGCGGGTCAGCAAATGCTGTCTTGCTTGAGTGCGGGTCCGAAGGTGATGATTTTTTTAAGTGTTAAAGGACTCATACTTTCCTCTTCATCTTCACTTTATAATCGTTTCAGAACTCTACGGGTGTGTTTGGATTTCAATGGGGTTAAGGGAAGTTAAGAGAAACTAGGTGAGAGAATGGAAGGGAATAGAAGGGAGTTCACTTCCCCTTGGTTACACCCTAATTTGGGGGTAACAAATTTTATACTATTAGGGGGTGAACCAAGGAGAACTAGGGTGAATAACTTCACATCCTAAATGTTCCCAAACAAGGTGAATGGTTCTCTTAACTTCCCTTCACCCTTATTCCCCTCAATCCAAACAAGCCCTAACCCTCAGCTTCAAAAGGACTCCTCCCCTAACTCAAACTCGTTTCAAAACCCTTCATAAGAGTTCTTTGAGTCTTTCCCTTTCTTCTTTCTCAATTTGGATTTGAGCAAAGGGGGAGATTCAAACCTAGGGTTTGTGGTTCTTCCGACGTGAGTTCGAGCTTAAGTATCAGGTGGAGTTCCTGGCTTTGGATTTCGATTTCAGGTAAGAGTTAATCTTTATGTTCTTGATTTTGGTTGCCCTCCTTCAATTTGATTTGGTTTTCACTCTATCTTCCCTGATTTCTTGCTAGGGTCTCAGCTCTTTCCTTTGACTCAGATTCAAGTTTTGTTTAGTGGATTTCCTTAACTCAGATCACCCTCTTCGCGAGTTCAGGTGAACCCACACCCATTGCTTCCCTTTGATTTCTTTATCCTGAACCCTAGTTCTTGGATTTGAGTAAAATTAAAACTTGGGTTTGGAACATCTCCTCTTGCGTCATCGACATTAGCTATCCACAGCTTTGTGCCATTTCTGACAATGACAGTAACAACAGTAGATCCACTCCGTCCAAGGTCAGGACCGTGAGAAAGAATTGCCTTGTCAGTCTTGTTAATGGCTCTATCAGTGAACGAATGCTTCTGTAAGTATGCAGCCACACTATCTCCCAAATGGCCATCAAAAATAGCAAATAGGCCAAGCTCCTGCCTTTTAACGTGGACGAATTTGGCAACATGAAAATTCTCCATAGGATGATTAGCTTTCCTTTTTACAAGGCTGTAGTCATAACTAACTCTGATGTTACATTGATAACTTTTTTCTTTACCCACATTTGATGAAGGATGTCTGACGTCTGAGAACATCCAGGCTTGAAGCAGCATAATCTTCGAAAGAAATCCAAAACTCTTGGCCTTGGTTGTGAGGATTGTTGATTGTAAATGAAAATTAAAACGAGTCCTCAACTTTGGGGAAGGGTTTGGTTTTAGGATTTTTAGCTTGATCAACGAAGCTTCATTCATTAATCTGTGATGAAGCTTAAGCCTTTAGGTCATAACTGAGGTGTATATGAAGTATTTGGCTTGATTTGATTCCTGTATTTGGCTTCTGTTTGTGGACTTAATTGTGGTCGTGAGCCGATGTCCTCGATTCATCCCTATATGTTCAACTTTGGTTGTATGTGAGGTTTAAAATGAGTTTCCAAGATTTATGACCATGGCTAAACCTTTAGCCTGAACCATATGTAAGAATTGAGCTTGTGTCCACTTTTTGGCTTTTGAGAGAAAAATATCCCAGCACTTAGCTTATGTATTAGTCGAGAATCGAACTCGCCGCCTTAGTTTTGTACGTTTATTTTCTGTACTCCAATGTGCATCAGAAATGTTTCATAGGTTTAATTGGATCTTTAACTGGAAAACTCCATTTTGTAGAATTTCAGTCAAAGATTCGCAATTTCCCTTTTAATCTTCGATTTATGTATCTCGATTCTTGATCTGACTGAGCTGTTGATCTTTATTGCAGATTAGCCATGTCGACGAGGAGATCACGCTTCCCGAGGAGCCGCTCAGCCACTCAGTCACCTGAGAGGGAGCTTCTATCTTTTACCAGTAAGCCTTTATAACTTCCTGTTCATGAATTCAATATTTATCATATCATATTACATATTACATCCCCGCTCTGTCCTCCTTGGTGAGGCAGTTGGGAAGAGCTGATATCCTCCTTTGTGGAGGTGGACGCTTCTATATTATATCCCCGCTCTGTTCTCCTTGGTGAGGCAGTTGGGAAGAGCTGATATCCTCCTTTGTGGTGGTTGATGCTTATCAGATACGTTTCGCTTGGTCAAAACGCATCTTAAGGCAATATGGAGCGATTCTTTACCGTATCACATTCCGTAAGATGAGGTACTTTACCGTGCTATTCGTGTGATAATGTATGTTATCTTGTGTATTTGTGATACAGTTAAAATCATCTCGCCAATTACAAGGTAGTGACTCTATCTCACGGATTGGTGAAAAGAGTTCAACACCCCGTGTCGCCTTAATATTTCTTCATAACTACGTTTGATAAGTACACATTATTCATTTTAGTTGAATACCCTGTGACGTCGTTTTCTCAATTCGAGATAGATGGCCATAGGAGTAGATATTACACTGCTGTTGATAACCCGGCGTCGATTCCGCCCACTTCTTAGTTCGCTTTGGACCTCCCCAATGAGCTCTCTAAGTTGGTACGGGAGGGGGGGTCCCCGCATCACGTGCCAATTAATTATGGACACGTCGTTCGCTAAAGATACGGAGCCTGCTCATCCTTTAAGAAAGACACATTACATGTTCGGCGATTCTGTGATGGATCCAACCGTCATAACCCTCGAAGATGAACGGTGGTTACACGGTGATGGTACGACTTGTTTATACCTTCCTCCGTTCCCTCGTCATCATTCGTTAACAGAATTGTGGGGGCAAACGGTGACACGATAAATACCGTGGACTTTGACAGAAGAGCACACCAACATTCCTTGCGAATACATCACCAACCATTCACTTCCGGGTTCCTGTGGTAGAAAACACATCAAAGGATTACACCCCGACATGATGGGATTGGAGGACCCGCCTAAATGGGAGCTACCCATAGTGGCTCGCACAGTGAAGAATCGTCTCGCTGAGCTAGGGCGACACCTACCTATCGAAAATTACAGGTGCTATGGCTGGTCTCATTCTTTAGACAAATCATGGTGGGGCCGAATGACAGGTTATGTCCTCTACCGGTGGGGTACTGAATTGAAGTCGATAAGATTATATGACGCTATCCGTGCCACCCAATACGGATTACCGGTGAATGCTCTCCACTTCACGGGATTAATAGAGCTGTACAATCCAGATACAAACACATTTCTTACCCGGAATGGAGAATTAGGACTACCCTTCCATGAGATGCACAAGGTCTCCAGATTACAAGTGGGAGATATGCTGTATCAGGAATATTTTCTTTCTAACCGGGAGCTACATCAATTGAAAATTCACAAGCACGCTCGATACGACACGTTATGGGAACTCACGTGTCATTATCAGATTGCTTTAGCCGGAACTAACCCAGTTCGATACGACACGTTATGGGAACTCACGTGTCATTATCAGATTGCTTTAGCCGGAACTAACCCAGTTGCGAGGAAAAAGTCTCCTCAAATAAGCTTGAAGTCATTATCAGATTGCTTTAGCCGGAACTAACCCAGTTGCGAGGAAAAAGTCTCCTCAAATAAGCTTGAATCAATTCTCGGGTTACCTATTCAAGAATTTGGAGAAAACCGACGAAGCTGTTTGTGAACTGAAACCGCTGACTCATGCGGAGATCACCAAGTTGATTGAAAAATACAGCACCCGATCTTACACCATTGCGAGTGTCCAAGGTAGATTTTGTGCAGGGACTAAGTTCACGACTTTCTTGTTGCAAGTGGAGAAATCCATCCACCCCAAGACTTTGTTGGCCGGTTATATTACACTTTGGTTGAAGAAGTGTGTGGTGCCATATCAGACCTCGGATGCCTTGCCGATAGAGGTGTTATTTCTCGCTGTCCAGCTTGCCTACGGAAGGAGCTTATCTCTTTTGCTAGCAATGGTTGCCGACATCTATCGTAGGCTTCGTCATGCGGTCACATCTTTTACTCAAACTAAGGAGACCCCATCTGAGAAGATCCCTACGACGAAGGCAGAGCTGCCTTACACCTATCTGATGGGGTGACTAGTTCTTCATCGCCCCGATTTGATATCGCCTCCTACTAATGCAGATCTATCCACTTCTTTGCTACAATTATTCGAGGAGTGTAGATGGAAAACTCGGGACCTCTCGGAAGTTAGGAGGAGCGACGTAGAAGTGCCCAGAACTGACCGGACCTCTCTCGATGTTGGCTACTTCAGATGGCTCATGAACATAAGGCCAGGTCACCTCATTTTTCGAGTGAAGGAGCGCTGCTATTTAGAGCCTTATCTGTCGTACCGGTTCGTCCGAACCAATGGTTTCATACTCGCGGTGGGCTAGTAGATGGCGCTCGCGCTTGGCTGTGGAATATGACGGGCTGTACCGGTGTCAAATTCAGTCTTTCGAATACTGACCGTCACTTAGAGCTCACATATTTATGTGCAAATGGATTATGGTCGCTAATGAACCCGTCACTCTGAGGTTAATTAAGGAGCTGATGGCTGAAGCTGCATCGCGTATCCCTGAGAGAATAGTCCGAGAAAGTGCGCTGGAAAGAAGGAGACGCGACAGTAAGCTTGCTGGTCCCTCAGGTAAAGGCAAGCAGAAAATAGAGGAGATAGAAGAAGAATCGTTCGCTTCTGACGAGGAGACTTCCGAAGACGATCAAGCCACTGCTGGTGGTGCTATAGAGGTCAACAGCGACTTCGAGGAACATGCAGCAAGTTTGTCTGAGACTTTTTATAAAGAGCTATGGGATCTATCGATCACTGATCGAGCTCGCCGACTTAAAGCTCGAAAGAAGTAGAGAATTTTGCCTACTTATAATAGAATGATGGTTAAACTTTTAGATGTAGGTTCCAAGGGGGAAGAGGAGAGAAGTAGCCTTATCACTCATGCTCGATCTTGGGTCACAGCTCAGGCAGGATTGCAAGTTGAGACGCGTGCCACATCAGCACTGGACAGACATGTGGATCTTAAAGAGGGCCGACCTACAAAACGACTAAAGTTGACCATCAAGCGACACGCTAGACCTCAGACTTCACGAACGGAGGTGGCCGACGATACGCCCATTGGTGGGGAAGGTAATGTTTCGACTCTTGTCATCTTTTCAGCCTTTTCCTCTACCAAGCTTTAGACTTAGCAAATTTTATATTCTAGAGGGTCATGATGAAGACACAATGATGTACAATCCCCCTTCTCCCGACTTGACTTTTTCAGAGGATCTTGCTTCATGCCACAAGCAGATGAAGCCGTGGGTCAAGATCTGGCGGGTGCTGAAACAGATGTGGCCCCTAAAACCGACGAAGGTACCATTGTAGGATCTGATTTGTCTATGGTGATTGCTAGCCCAGGTATACCTATTACCGGTAGTACACCTTTTAGGTGACAATCTCGGGTATTAAACGACTTAGAGTTTGTCCCTCCTCTAATTGCTTATATGCTTCTGGCTCTTTTAGAAAAGCTATAAGAGGCGATCGCTGACGTCGAGATTGAAGGGCATGCTGTTACCACCGAAGGTAAATTTAATTCTCCTTCATTGTTGATTTTTAACTTCTCTTTCCATGTCTTACCACTTAGAATTTTCTGTAGACATTCCGATGGAAGGTTTAAATGATGAAGAAGTCTCTCACGACGTAGTTAACACACCTTCATTTGATCCTGTACAAGATCCTTTGAGATCTGGCGACATGTTTTTTGACGATATGTTGTCAGAACAAGCTCGTCGTGAGACCGTCGAACCAATTATTAAAGCTGGTCCCCTTGCTGGTATGAATTTATTCCTTTACAAAAGTTACTCACTTATCAGTCTTACTTAACCGTAAGGGAGTTATGCTTGTAGGACCAGTCGTTGAGACTGATACAACTACTATTGTTAGGATATTTGACGATCCTGAGGGTCTTGATTTCTTGCTGTTGGCAGGAACTATCATAGAAACTCAGTCGTTAGTGGCTCAAACTCAGCTTACGATCCCGGCAACCAAGATGACTACTGTAGCTGTGGGGATCAGTCCGGTTGAACAGGTCGTAAGACTAACTGAAAAAGTCGGTACATCTACGACTACTACGTCAGCAATAACTCTAATGACTCATGCAGCCGTGCAAGGGGTGTCGAATGCAGAGCGTCAAATTGAAGAGCCTTCAGTCGTTATTGGTGAGCCATGTTCCGACATTTATCTTGAAACTATTCGGAATAAAATCCCTAAATAGTTACTCTTCTTTTTAGGGCTTTCAGCTCAGCTTTATGATCTCGTCACAACATTACTATCCAATAACGATTCAGATAAAATCCTCCTCCGCATGGAAGTTCGTTCTTTCTTCTTGTTTGTGAACGAGATGGTTGACAATCTTCTCCGCAACGGGCTCTCTATTGATCTCTTCAAGTCATATCTCGATCATCAAGTGACCTTTCTGAGGAGTCAAGGGTATTCAGATCTGGCGGACGCTATTACTGCAGACTTGGTTCGCCATGAGAGTGAGCTTGAAAAACTGAACGAATTTCAGGCAGCCAGAGTTTTTTCATATGTGGCCGCTCAGATGGAAGCTAAGTTACAAGCATGGCGCGAAGCTCAAGCATCTGTTGATTCTAAGATTCAGGAAGCAGAAGGTCTTGTTCACCAAATTGAAGCGGCTTGTGCTGGCAAGTCGACAACTCTTTGCAATATTGATTCTTCTCTTGCGTCAGGTGAAGCCACAATAGCGCGACTCAAGCTAGAGCTAAAAGCGGCGAAGGATGCTCAAGCTGCTTTGAAGATGACGTAGGTACACGTGGAGCGTGCCCGAGAGGAAATGTCTGGGCAACTGGCACTCATTAAAGAGAAGTTGGTCACGATGAAAGCAGAAGCCACGAAGGTATTGGCTACTGATGAAGACTCTATGAAGACCACACTACAGAGCGAGCTTGAGCAAGCTTATACTGTGGAATTGTCTAAGTTAGAGCAACAAGTTCTTAGCCATAAGCTTCGTGTAGATTGATTGTGACTTTTGTACCTGCAAACTTAATTTTTATTAATAGCAAATATTTCTTTCTTTTTATTCATTATATCTCTTTTATTATGATGTCCTATTCTGTTTGGAATGATTAACCATAATATTTATAGGATTTTTGACAAACCCCTAGCCTTAAACGGATTTGATGTGCCTTTACCGATTACCGTTTGAATCGGGCTAGCATGTGAATTATTAAAACTCGTTTCACATGTAACGTTGTGCTAAGAGAGTTAATTCTCCTAGACTTGGTGCTATGATTTTGAATACATAGACTTCACCATTTTTTACGAAAATATGGCACCCGACAACGCGTGTTAGGTGCTGACTTATCCCTACTTAGGCTTCGGAATAAAATTCTCCAGACTTAGACTCTGGTGTCTTTTTCAATCAGTGAAAGACTAAACTGACGACGTGTGTTAGACGTAGACTTAGGATTTTTGGCAAACCCCCAGCCTTTAACGGATTTGATGTGTCTTTACCGATTACCGTTTGAATCGGACTAGCATGTGAATTATTAAAACTCGTTTCACATGTAACGTTGTGCTAAGAGAGTTAATTCTCTTAGACTTGGTGCTATGATTTTGAATACATAGATTTTACCATTTCTTACGGGAATATGGCACCCGACAATACGTATTAGGCGCTGACTCATCCCTACTTAGGATTCGGGATAAAAGTCCCTAGACTTGTATTCTGGTGTCTTTTTTACTCGGTGAAAGACTAAACCGGTAACGTGCGTTAGGCGTAGGCTTATCTCTATTTAGGAGTCAAGATAAAATTCCCCGTGCATGAACTGTATGTATTTAAAGTTGAGAATTGTGTCTTTTCTCAGGGTAAAGACAAACCCGATGCTGGAGAGGAAGAATTTTATATTCTGTCCCCAGGTCTTGTTTAGGGTAAAGACAAACCTAAAATGGGAGAGGAAATATTTTATATTCTATCTCCCAACACTAAAGAGGAAGAATTTTATACTATATCTCCAGTTGCAAAGGAGACTCGAGGTGGGATCTCCACCCCCAGAATCCGGAAAGGTAAAACTAGGAGTGGGATCTTCACTCTGAGAATCAAAAAGATTCAAGCAATCCTAACTTTTATAGGATTGATTGCTTAATCAAAGACAAGAATTCCTCATTTATTAAGGTGAAATTCCGATCCTGGCCCTAATTTTTATAGGTTTGGCTGAAATCGAAAAGGTGGAAGCCTTTCGTTTATCGAAAGGAATAGTCCGGCCTTGGTCCTAACTATTACAGGTTTGACAAAGAGAGGTTGGAGGCAATCCTAACTTTTATAGGTTTGATTGCTCAAATAGAAAGTGGACCTCTCGTTCATGAAAGAAATCGAGAGGGGATTCTGACTTTGGTCCTAACTTTTATAGGTTTGACCGAGAAAGCAATGAGAGTGGAATACATGTAGCAATGAGAATGTTGACCTATACTAGCCACTCGCTGGAGGGTTTCGATGTTAAGTGATCAGGACTTAACACGTCAAGTTTGAAATTTGCTAAGAATTGGCGAATAGAAATTTTGGTGGACCCACCGTCAATTGATTTGATCAGTGAGAGATTTTGTGAGGAAAGATTGATTTGTCAAAATGGTTGAATCTCGCCTCAGCAAAAGAATTCGTGAGAGTTAGTGAATTCGATATCAACAATAGGATACGTTCCAACTTTGAAAACATTCAGAGTCTAAGTGTGGATTTCTTATTTATTACTTTTGTAGCAGCTGGGTTATCCCTAAGAATACCACACATAATATTCTTTCAGGAACTTCCTGATACATGGGTTGTCCTGAATGTACTAAGGGTAGTACTTCTTCAGGAACTTGCCATTTATCGGTATCATAAACCAGACGCCTTCCTTGGTAATAAGGCGATATACGCCGTTTGAATAAACTATCTCTACCACAAATGGTCCTTCCCATTTGGGCTCGAACTTGCCTTTCTTCTTGGAATTAAGGATCATTCGCCATTGGACTGCTAAGACCAAGTCCCCTTCTTTAAAACTCCGTTGTCGAACCTTTTTATCAAAGGCTCGGGAAATTCTGGCTTGGTAGAACTTAATGTATTGCTGAGCTTCCAAATGCTTCTCGTCGAGCATTTCGAGTTCTTTGAGACGTTTCTGATGTTGCTCTTCGGTCGTCATCTGGGTTGCGAGAGCGATTCGAAGAGATGAAATTTGAATTTTCAATGGAAGGACTGCTTCACACCTGTATACCAAAGAATATGGGGTTGCGCCAGTAGGCGTGCGAACTGTGGTGCGGTAGGCCCATAGAGCTTCGCCAAGTTTATCATTCCAATCTCGTTTATTAGTCTTCACAAGTTTTGATAAAAGCTTGATGATAGTCTTGTTAAAGGCTTCAGCTAATCCGTTTGCTCTGGGATTATAAGCTGTTGATGAGACGTCTTGAATTTTGAACTTCTCGCAAAATTTGATGAAGGCATTACTAACAAACTGAGGACCGTTATCATGTATGATTCACCTTGGGACACCATACCAGTAGATAATATGATACTTGATGAATGTCACAACATTGCTCGTCTTAACTTCTCTAAGTGGAATCGCTTTAGCCCATTTGGAGAAGTAATTAGTAATTGGTAGGATGAATCAGTCACATTTGACTGACGGGGGATTCGTAGGACCAACAACATCCATTCCTCAGGTCTCAAAAGGCCATGATGTAGCTGAAGGGTGTAGATGCTCTGGAGGTTGGTGCATATAATTCGCGTATACTTGACACACGTGACACTTTCGGGCATATGCGACTGCATCTTTGATCATGGTAGGCCAGAAATATCACATTCTTCTGATGCGATCATAAAGTTTGGGGCCAGGTTAGTGTGCACCACAAACCCCTTCGTGCGTCTCCCTAAGGACTTCTTCCGACTCTTTAGTGGATAGACAATGTAATAGTAAACCATCATATCCTCGACGATATAGCGTTCGACTCTCCGTATTATAGTAGAATCTCGGTGCTCTCCATCGGATTAAGTCCCTTTCCTTCACGTCTTCCAGTAAAATCCCGTGTAGGACATAGTCTATGATAGGGAAATGCTAGTCTTGGGATTTGAACTCAACTTGAGTTGAATACACTTCCTTAATGTCCTCTTCTCTGTCATCTAGATCGTAGATTAGTACAAAGAGCTGATGAGTTATTACCGTAACGAACTGTTCCATTTCAGGAGGCTGTGCTAGGGACACGGTTAATGCTGCCAGCGCATCTGCGTATGCGTTTTGTAAACGTGGAATATATTCGATGAAGAATCCTTTAAACGATTCTGCCATCTTAATGGCCATCCTATGGTATGGTATCAAATCCTATTTTCTGACCTCATACTCCTCTTAAACTTGTTTAACTACCAGTTGAGAGTCACCGAACGCTTCAAGGTACTCGACCCCCAGCTCTTTAGCAAAGCTGAGTCTAATAAGCAGCGCATTATATTCGGCTACGTTGTTTGAGCATGGCTCGGTCAACGAGTAGGCTCGCGACATCACATGTTTTCCTGGGGAAACTAAGACAACTCCAACTCCAGAGGAAATCTTAGAACATCCAGGAGCACTTGCTACATTAGTTGCTCGAGAGGCACCGTCAAAGTACAAATGCCATACCTGTTGATGGGAAGTTACGTTGGCTTCGTGGGTTTCATCTGGCAGATCATCGTATACCTCGGCGGTATCCGTAGTTGGGTTAGCTGTCAGGAGATCACAAATAACTTGTCCTTTGACTGACTTCTGCTATTTAAAATGTAGGTCATATTGGGACAGAAACAATACCCATTTTGCTAACCGCCAATTCATAAAAGCCGGCTACATCATGAATACTCTGACTGGGTTAACATTGGAGATGACGTAGATAGTCTGTCTGACTAAGTAGTGTAGCATCTTTTGAATAGCGAATACTAAGGCGAGACACTCCCTTTTGATCATTGGATATCAAGATTCAGCACCCACAAGGGTCCGGGTCAAATAATATACTGCCTATTCATGACCGTTATCATCGTCTTACACAAGTAATGCACTTAACGAGTGGCTCGTCGCCCTGACATAAATTAGGAACGATTTTCCTGATTTCGGTGCAATGAGTACAGGGGGTTTCGAGAGATATTCTTTGATATTCTCGAACACTTTTTGACAAGCTCGTCCAATACGAATGATACGTCTTTCTTTATGAGCCTGGAGAATGGTTGATATTTTTCCGAAAGGTTCGAGATGAACCGATGGATATAAGCCAACCGTCCTTGTAACCCTCTAAGTTCCTTAAGATTTCTCGGGGGTTACAGCTCGTTAATTGCCTTCACTTTATCAGGGTCGATGTGAATACCCTTGGTGATGACGACGAATCCAAGGAATTTGTCGCTGGACATTCCGAGGAAAGATTTGGTATAATTCATCTTCAATTGGTGAGTCCGCATCAGGTCAAACATCGTTTTCAAGTCTTTGATGTGACCATTCTTGTTACGACTTTTCACGACTAGATCGTCTACGTAGCATTCAACAATCTTCCGGAGATGCTCCTAGAAAATCTTCGCCATGGCTCTCTGATATGTGGCACCTGCGTTCTTTAAGCCGAAGGGCATAAGTGTGTAACAGAAAACACCGAGGGGTGTTCTAAACGCGGTATGCTTTTTATCAACTGGATGCATCTTTATCTGATTATAACCAGAAAATCCATCCATGAAGGACATTCTCTCGAATCCACACGTATTGTCGATGATAACATCTGTGATGAGAAGAGAAAAATCATCTTTCGGGTAGATGGTGTTAAGGTCTCTAAAGTCGATACAAATCCTAATTTTCCCGTTTTTCTTAAGGACATGGATAATATTGGTAAGTCATTCAAGATGTTGCTCTTCTCTGATGAAACCCGAGTCGGTAAACTTTTTAACTTCGGACTCGATTGCCTCCATAATTTATGGATGAAACCGTCTTTGTTGTTGTTTGATAGGTTTGACATCCGGCTTAATATTGAGGCAATGCATTGCCACTTTTGGATCGAGCCCTGGCATATCCTCATAGTT